AAAAAAAAAAAAAAAAAAAAAAAAAAAAGGTAGGAAAGCTACCAGAATCAAGATAGACATGAGGTGGGAGATGGGAGAGGAAGGCAGTCTGACAGAGCTTCTTGCTCAAAGGTTAAGGGCTTCAGATTTCAGCTTCTGTTCTACAAAAATTTGTGCATATCATGGGATGGTGTTATCACAAACCTGATCCCAACATTGTATTGGTTCCTGCTTATACTGAAATACAGGGTGGGAAGATGACCCCAATGGTGACAAGCCACCAATTACTACTATACAATGTGGGAAAAAAACTGAACTAATGAATGCCAGTGGTGTAAGCAGCCACAAGGGGGCAATATCACTTTCCAACTATTGCATAAAACAATTGAACGCATAGCTTTCAAGTATAATAAATTTCATCCAAACACTAATGAAAACTACACAAGTTCCTAAAAATAAGCTAATTAAAATGATCACTGTTTCCAACAGTATCTTACTAAAATTTTAGACTACTGCTTCTCTCGAACTTAAAAAGGATGCACTGTAAGGTCAAATAACTAAAATGCAGCTCTATTAAATCACTTGAAACTTACCAGGCAAGTTGCCTATCGAAACTGCTTTATACCTGCCAGACTTTCTCCCCTTTCAGTGGCATCTGCATTTAAGAAAAATTATCTTCTTGTTACATTTTCTTCCTAACTTTATAGGTCTTCTAGGAAATTTTATTTAATAATTAAATGTACTTATAACACCTTATGCTTTCTAGGAGTAGAGCTGTGTCTCCATTCTTGTTTAGGATCACTTTCTCTCAAATGCAAAATACTACCTATGATTTGAGATATTATTTGGATTCTAAGTAAATGTTAACCAAAGAGCTATTTACTAGTCCTTAAAATGTCACTTAAATTGAGTTTTGAGTCAAAAGCCAGGTTACTTAGTTCAAATATCATTTTTTTAAAATAGTGTTTTCTTCAGAGGAAGAAGAAATTTTAAATGTGGAGTCCATCTTTTTTTTAAATTTTAAAATATATTAAAAGCATAGTCTATCATCTTTTATATCAAATGTGTGGAGTTGAAACTTTAAAAAAAAATCTAAGAACAAAAGTAGGCCGGGGGCAGTGGCTTGTGCCTATAATCACAGCACTCTGGGAGGCCAAGGTGAGTGGATCATTTGAGGTCAAAAGTTCAAGACCAGCCAGACCAACATGGTGTAAACTTGTCTGTACTAAAAATACAAAAATTATTGGGGCATGGTTGCACATGCTTATAATCCCAGCTACTTGCCACTGCACTCCAGCAGCCTGGGCAACAAAAGCATAACTCCATCTCAAAAACAAAAAACAAAAATAAAACCCAGATCTTAACATTGAATGCTAATGCTTAGTATCTTAGACATGCTATGTCATGTAGAACAAAATGTTGAGATAATACTATTTTTCATAAAGTAAATGAGTAACTAAAGTGGTTTACTGAACATTAAACAGTCTCTCAGAAGACTGTACTTTGGACTAAGTGGAATAATAAAGAGTGACATCAACAGCTTAAGGGTATTATATTGGATCATTGGAGATTTTTAAAAACATTAAGAGCAGTCGCTGGGCGCGGTGGCTCATGCCTGTAAAACCAGCACTTTGGCAGGCCAAGGCAGGTGGATCACCTGAGGTCAGGAGTTCAAGACCAGCTTGGCCAACCTGGTAAAATCCCATCTCCACTGAAAATACAAAAATTAGCTGGGCGTGGTGGCGGGTGCCTGTAATCCCAGCTACTTGAGAGGCTGAGGCAGGAGAATCACTTGAACCTGGGAGGCCAAAGTTGCAGTGAATCGAGATTGCACCATTGCACTCCTGCCTGGGTGACAGAGTAAGACTCCGTCTCAAAAAACAAAAAACAAAAAAATATTATGAGCAGTCCTGTTTAAGCTTATAAGAATCTTACCATTAGGCCAGATGCCGTGGCTCAATCCTGTAATCCCAGCATTTTGGGAAGCTGAGGTGAGTGGATCACCTGAGGTCAGAAGTTTGAGACCAGCCTGGCCAACATAGTGAAACCCTGTCTCTACTAATAATGCAAAAATTAGCCAGGCAAGGTGGCATACACTGGTAATCCCAGCTTCTCCAAAGGCTGAGGCAGGAGAATCGCTTGAACCCGGGAGGCAGAGGGTGCAGTGAGCCTAGATCATGCCATTGCACTCCAGCTTGTGAGACAAGAATAAAACTCCATCTCCAAAAAAATAAACAAATAACATTAAAAAATTTTAAAAAAAGAATCTTACCTTAGTTTTTTCATCCACAACTCTGAGTCCATCTGCTGAGACCCACAGAACCGCTTTAACTGCTTTCTTTCCAGTCTTTTAAGAGAAACCGAAAGGGGGAGGGGGAGATACACATATATACTATTAAAAAAAAAGGTCATCTTCCACAGAAAACACTGACTTCTGCCTTCCAAAAGTCACAAGTACAGATGGAGTCCAAGTTCAGGAGTGGTGCCCAAAGCCAGATACTCAAACCAAACTGCAGAAACATTCAGGAAAAAACGAGCCAAAGCCATTATTTTAGAAACAAAATGCAAAACATAAGGTAAAATTAAGTAAAAGGGGAGTAACGGATGGAATAAAAACCAAGATATCACATTCCATAAAGGGCAAATAATTCATAACTATAGTCTTTACCCATTTAAAAAATCAACCAAGAAAACCAAGAGTCAGATAAATATTAAATACATAAGGAGTTACACCACAAGTAGCATCTACAAGTGTATTTAGAGCAGGAAGTAACATGTCTAAATTGAGATGCTGACCATTCTACTATCCTATGACGCCAATGTGTTAGAGCAGGACCCTTGGTCACCTAAAATTTTCTTGTTAAAAACACAATAGGTCTTCATTATTCTATTAACAATCTTTAAAAGCCATTATTTGTCCTCTCAGGGTTAACACAGACATTTTTCCTAACAATGTTTTTTCTTGAGGTGGAGTCTCACTCTGTCCCCCAGACTGGAGTGCAGTGGTGCAATCTTGGCTCACTGCAACCTCTGCCTCCCGGGTTCAAGGATTCTCTTGCCTCAGCCTCCCAAGTAGCTGGGATTACAGTGCCCACCACCATGCCCGGCTAATTTTTAGTAGAGACGGAGTTTCACCATGTTACATGGCCAGGCTGGTCTGGAACTCCTGACTTCATGTGACCCACCTGCCTCAGCCTCCCAAAATGCTGGGATTACAGGTGTGACCCACTGTGCCCAGCATCTAATAATTTTAGAGATGAGGTCTCACTATGTTGCCCAGGCTGGAGCGCAGTGGCTATTCACAGGTACGATCATAGAGCATGACAGCCTTGAGCTCCTGTGCTCAAGTGATCCCCCTGTCCCAGCCTCATATGTAGCTGGGACTACAAGTATGCACCACTGCACCCAGCCTTGGCTTGTTTTTTAATTTGACATTAAATGCATGGAGACATTTTGGGGACACAGGAAGATTTTAAAACTACTGAAAAAATAATTTTCTTTTTACTGGCTGAGAAAAGACTTTTTGGCACATAAGAATCACATGAGAAACAAGCTGATGCATAATTCCTCTTGTGATGAAATTTAATAGTAATTTAACTGTGTCTTTCTTTTTAACTGCCTCAAGGATACAGCATAATAAAACAAAAGCAATATATGAAGGCTGAGAATAGGTATCAGATTATCACAAAAACTATAGATCAAAAGGAATCTGGTGCTAAGGTTGGAGCAGCAGCCTCTAGAAGGGACAAGGAAGACTATCAGAAGTGTCTACCATTCTCCTCTATATGTAGTTCAGGCCCAGGAAAACCTGATATGGTGGCATGTCCTTACTTAAATAACTTGTGATCCACTTGGCCTCATCATCTCTACCACCACCATACATTTGATGAGTGCCTATAATATGTCAGCCAGTGGAAATACCTGGAAGACTACTGAAAGGCGACAAACAAAAAATAAAGAATATAGTAGGTAAGTGAGTACGGTATAGAATACAGTAGAGCTGAGAACAAGGTACAATGATGCCAGAAAAGAGGTATAATCAAATCTCTTCATGGAATTGGGGAAGGTTATACAAAGGAGAAGACTGAACTGGGTGCTGAAGTAATTTTTCTTGATGCTCTAGGTAGGGGTAGGGAGGCAGGGAAGTAACAGAGGTAGTGGACATGCCAGGCAGAAGAAACAGTAGTACAGGACATGGAAGCAAACAACATGGCATATCTGGGGCTCCGTAAATATTTCAGTATGTCCTGACAAGTAGACTTGGCAATGGGGAAGGCACAATGGGAGATAGAATAGGAAAGGCCTAATCACAGAAGGCCTTCTATGCCTGATGAGGAATTTGATCTTGATTCTATGGGCAATTAGAAGCTAATCAGTAAATATTAACATTTACAATAAATTGAATTTAGGTAAAGGAAATTAGCCTTGGTAATATGGTAATATGGGTAGGCTTCATCCAATCAGTTGAAGGCCTCAAGAGCAAAAACTGCAGTTTCCTGAAGAAACCCTGCCCGAGCTTCCGGCCTGCTGGCTTGCTTTACAGATATCAGACTTGCCAGCCAGCCAGCCCCCACAATCACATGAGTACATTCTTATTTTATATATATATATATATATAAATCATATATATGTAAAACCTCCTATTGGTTGTTTCTTTGGAGGATCCTGATACAGAAGTGGAAGTTACTAGAATGAGATGAAAAGTAAAGCTTTTCTATAAAAAGGAGAGCTGTAGGGCAATAAGACACAGGCAGAGCATCAAGGGAAGTCTACAAGAATTGTGATAAATGAGCATGTTATACTAGAAATAGAAGGGGCTTTGGATTGAAACAAATATGAGACTGAATTCAGTGCTACTATTCATAAGCTAAGAAAGTTATGTAGCCCACTGAGCTTCCATCTCTTCATTTGTAAAATATTTGCAGTTTGTTAAAAGGATTAGAGATTACATACAGTACCTGGAATTTAAATAGGGTAATAATTAGCAGCCATTTATTGTCATTATATGATTAATAAACTTTTAAAAACCTCTCCCAGTAGTAAAACAGAACTCTTGAAAGAGTGATATACATTTTCAACAACAACAAAAAATCTTCTTCATGTGCTTAATGGGAAAAGCCAGTGGAACAATGGAAAGTGAAGGCCCAAGAAAAACAGTAATTTAGAGGACAAAGTCCAACAAAAGGCAGGGTGAGATGGGGCTAGAATACAAGTTTTAGGAAGAGAGATGTCCTTTCCTCTGAAATGGAGTGACAAAGTGGGGCTGAGTAGAGATGAAGACAGATTTGTAAAGGAGGGAGTAGCAAGTGGAGGAAATTCACTCTGGAGAGCCATAAATTCATCTGTGAATTTATGGTTTTACTTTACCTGCTTTACTTTGCTGGGGAGAGGAAAGATGACAGGCAGAGTGAAACAGTAAGGATTCAGAACAGCAGTGTGGGGGCAGTCCAGTATCCGAACTAGAAATCAAGCTGTTGTCTGGACTTGAATTCTGGTTCTGCAACTTACTCCTAGTATGACCAAAGGCAGGTTAATTTCACTTGTCTATGCTTCACTTTCTACACCTGTATAATGATGTTAATAATCTCATATACCTCAAAGGATTACTGTGAGGATTAAACGATGTATATAAAAGGTTTAGAACAAGGATGGCCATATAATTTACTCTATGAACTGGGAAACTTTGAAAGTGAAAGGGATCAGAGGCCACAGTTAACTAATCAAAGAACTGAAAAAAGATAACCTATACCAAATATGAAATGTAGAATTTACATACAGGCTGGGGGCAGTGACTCAGGCCATCCCAGCACTTTGGGAGGCTGAGGCAGGGGGGATCATCTGAGGTCAGGAGTTCAAGACCAACCTGACCAACATGGCGAAACCCTATCTCTACTAAAAACACAAGAATTAGCCAAGTGTGATGGTGAGCACCTGTAATCCCAGCCACTGGGGAGGCTGAGGCAGGAGAATCGCTTGAACCCGGGCGGTGGAGGTTGTAGTGAGAATATGTTATCATATGTATCTATTACAAATAACTACATCAGGAAACTTGTACCAGAAGAGAAATGCACAGGTAATCTTAACATGAAGAAAACTGGTGAAGGAACACAAAATGGTTGGAATGGCACAGAAATAGTAACAAGCTCAGCACACTGTAAGATGACTTTTTCCTAAATATAAAAGCTACCCACAGTAAAAGGCAAATGAAATAAGCAGTTGCTAACTGCCTGTCTCCAGAGTTTTTTTGTTTGTTTGTTTTCCGTTTCTTTTTTTTTTTTTTTTTTTTTTGAGACAGAGTTTCACTCATGTTACCCAGGCTGGAGTGCAATGGCGTGATCTCGGCTCACCGCAACCTCCGCCTCCTGGGTTCAGGCAATTCTCCTGCCTCAGCCTCCTGAGTAGCTGGGATTACAGGCATGCACCACCATGCCCAGCTAATTTTTTGTATTTTTAGTAGAGACGGGGTTTCACCATGTTGACCAGGATGGTCTCGATCTCTTGACCTCATGATCCACCCGCCTCGGCCTCCCAAAGTGCTGGGATTACAGGCTTGAGCCACCGCGCCCGGCCTGTTTTCCGTTTCTTTAAGTAGAAGCCACTGTTTCTTTCTTTTATTTTTGTTAGAGACAAGGTCTTACTCTGTCACCCAGGCTGGAGCGCAGTGGTGTGATCATAGTTCACTGTAGCCTCAAACTCCTGGGCTCAAGCGATCTACCCACCACAGCCTCCTGAGTAGCTGGGAGACCACAAGCAAATACTACCACACCGGGCTACTTTTTAATTTTTATAGAGACAGGGTCTTGATATGTTGCCCAGGCTGGTCTTGAAATCCTGGCTTCAAGTGATCCTTCCACCTCAGCTTCCCAAAGTAGTAGGATTACAGATGTGAGCCACTATGCCCAGTTGAAACCCCTTTTTAAAAATAAATTGAGGCTGGGCATGGTGGCTCACGCCTGTAATCCCAGCACTTTGGGAGGTGGACGAATCATGAGGTCAGGAGTTTGAGACAAGCCTGACCAAGATGGTGAAACCCCGTCTCTACTAAAAACACAAAAAAATTAGCTGGGCTGCCGGGCGCGGTGGCTCAAGCCTGTAATCCCAGCACTTTGGGAGGCAGAGGCGGGTGGATCATGAGGTCAAGAGATCGAGACCATCCTGGTCAACATGGTGAAACCCCGTCTCTACTAAAAATACAAAAAAATTAGCTGGGCATGGCGGCATGCGCCTGTAGTCCCAGCAACTTGGGAGGCTGGGGCAGAAGAATCGCCTGAACCCAGGAGGCAGAGGTTGCAGTGAGCCGAGGTCATGCCACTGCACTTCAGCCTGGGCGACAGAGTGAGACTCTGTCTCAAAAAAATAATAATTTGAAAAATAAAATAAAAATAAAAATAAGGCCGGGTGCGGTGGCTCAAGCCTGTAATCCCAGCACTTTGGGAGGCTGAGGCGGGTGGATCACGAGGTCAAGAGATCAAGACCATCCTGGTCAACACGGTGAAACCCCGTCTCTACTAAAAATACAAAACATTAGCTGGGCATGGTGGCGCGTGCCTGTAATCCCAGCTACGCAGGAAGCTGAGGCAGGAGAATTGCCTGAACCCAGGAGGCGGAGGTTGCGGTGAGCCGAGATCGCACCATTGCACTCCAGCCTGGGTAATGAGAGCGAAACTCCGTCCCCCCAAAAAAATAAAATAAAATAAATAAATAAATAAATAAATTGAAAAAGGATGATGATGACAAGTTGGTGACACAGATGGTAGGTGGAAAGATTCTTACATTGCTCTTTTATTTCTTTTATTATTTTTTTTTTATAGACGGGGTTTTACCATGTTGCTCGGGCTGGTCGTGAACACCTGACCTCAGGTGATCCGCCCGCCTTGGCTTCCAAAGTGCTTGGATTACAGGCATGAGCCACCATGCCTGGCCTGCTCTTTTATTTCATCAGTATAACTGATGTTATCCTTGGGAGAGATGAGCTGGAGTTGGAGGAATGAGTTTTGTTTTGTTTTTTGAAACATAGTCTTGCTCTGTTGCCCATGCTTCGAGTGCAGTGGTGCAATCCAGGCTCACTGCAACCTTCGCCTCCCAGGTTCAAGCGATTCTCCTGCCTCAGCCTCCCGAATAACTGGGATTACAGGCACCTGCCACCATGCCCCACTACGGCTAATTTTTGTATTTTTAATATAATGAGGTTTCGCCACGTTGGCCAGGCTAGTTTTGAACTCCTGACCCCAGGTGATCCACCTGCCTCAGTCTCCCAAAGTGCTGGGATTACAGGTGTAAGCCACCGCACCCCGCTGGAATGAGTTTTTAAACTGTTTAAATCAGGAATTAGCACACTTTTTTTGTGAAGGGCCAGATAACAAAATATTTTAGGCTTTGCAGGACATATGATCTCTATTGTAACTACTCAACTCTGTCATTGCACAAAAGCAGCCATAATAATATGTACACAAATGAGCATGACTTTGTTCCAATAAAATGTTATTTACAAAAACAAATACAGTAGTGGGCCATAGTTTTCGATATCTGATATAATCTCTAGAAAGTAATTCATTATACTGAAATATTATACCTGTTGGAATTGTGTCCCTGAATTCTTTTTTTTTTTCCTGACAAATGTATTTATATTCTACCTATTATTTTAAGGTGCTGTCCAACTCTAAAATTCCACAATTCCCAAGATTATCAATGAGATAAGAGCATGCCATTAATTAATATAAATAAAAAGGACATTTGGAGGCAAGACTGCTGGGCATATGAAGTAAGATCAAAAGGGTTAAACAGATGTTCTAATGTAAGCTGAAGCAAAGAAATGCTATAAAGAAACATGGACCTACAATTTGGCATAGTTTTGAAATGTTAAGAAGTAACAGCAGCAAACAGATCAATTAGGGCACAGCAAGTCACTCTCAGAGCAACCGTGATTTGCAATTCTATTGTGCAAAGTTCCTTGAGTTACAAACCAAAGAGATCTTCAAAAGTATCCAATGTGTA